AGCAAACGGTGGAGAGGAAAAACTCCCTGCTAATCAGGAAGAAACCTCCAGCAGAACCAGGCTCAGGACAGGAGACCATCTGCCTCGATCGGCTGGTTGAGGGAAAGGAAAGGTGTGGCGAATTTATGAGCAAATCATATCTTACCTACCCGGTAAATTAGATAACTCTTAGAACTACCTCAATTTGGAGAAACAAAAATCAGTTTTGACCAGATTGATGAGCTAAAGGCTAGTCTGAGTGAGGCCAAGAACAAACTGGATTACTGCTGTTTTAAAACACCTTCAAGCAGTTTGTTCAAACTCTCTTTTATAAACCTTTACATTACCATCAATCTAGCATTACAGGATCATTTGCAAAGAATATTTTGTATGCTTGGAGGCACAAACATCTAAGCAGCTAAAGCCAGTTGGACAAAAGTTGACCACTCAGAATTGTGAAATAATGGGTGGATGCTCTGATGGTGTGCGGCCACGTTGCAACGCTACCAATGATCAAAAATCGTGATTTGTTCTTGATTGAGCAGCATGTAAACACTTATTTTAGGTTGTGCGCATTATTTCKTTACCCACCTCTGCCAACATTAGCAGCACTTTCAGTGCATCCTGGGGCACTTCCAGCAGGAATAACTGTATGATGTGAAACTTGTCATTTCTATCAGAATGTTAACTCTATATCCCTCAACCGAGGTTGCTCATATAAAGCTACCTGGTTTTATTGTTCATAACCTTTCCTCAGAACCCCAATTTAAAACATCCAATAAATCAGATGGACTAGGGCTGGACGATAAGGCTGAAAAATGTATCATGGTATAAGTGATCACACTGCCAAACTGGTGACGTTACCTTTCCTCTTTTATCCACACTTTCCTCTCGAGCTGTTGCACTCATTTCCTCCTTTCACTCCACGTCGTTCTTTTTTATTTTGGAGCTCTGTGATGTAACATGAAACTACTGCACAATGCTTAGTGATTGGGTCAGGCTGGTCAGAGATGGACCATTCCAAGCAAAAAAGGTCACTTCCTGTCTTCCGGGGGCGGGGCTACAATGATGTCAGCATATAACTTTATGGTATCATGGGGCATCGGACATGGATAACTCACAATGAGTTTGGAGTAATTCTGACTCTCCATGTGAAAGTTACAGCATTTCAAAAATGTTGGCGAGAAGGTCATTTTCGAGGCCTGGCCACGCCCCCTTAACATGCTCGAAAACTCACTGCTTTAATAACTTTTAATCCCCCATGTCTTAACAGCATACTGACCAAGTTTGAAGCCAATAGGTCAAAATCCCTAGGAGGAGTTTGCAAAAGTTTGACGTGAGCGAAAGTGAAACTTAAGGAAAATTTGACCTTTGACCCAAAATGGCTGACTACCTGTTGGTTTTAGGGCATACCTCCAAGAGACWTTTTWAAATATTTTGGGGAGTTCTACCTATGTGCCAAATTTCAGCTCTCTAGGACTTACCAGTTCCTCTATCTCACGTTAGGTGGCGCTGTCAAGTCATTTGGCCACGCCCATTAAAAATTCCACTCACTCACTCACTCACTCACTCACTCACTCACTCACTCACTCACTCACTCACTCACTCACTCACTCACTCACTCACTCACTCACNTCACTCACTCACTCACTCACTCACTCACTCACTCACTCACTCACTCACTCACTCACTCACTCACTCACTCACTCACTCACTCACTCACTCACTCAGTTGCTAGCTGACCAAGGAGTGCCAACAACCTAGCTTAGATGGGTCGTGAAAGGTTGAGCAGCTGAAGCCTTTCCTCTGCCTACATCTCCCAGATTGCTGTGCGGTTCTGAACCAGAGTTCATTCTATCAGATGTATTTTCTATTAACACTGATCACGTATCTATCGTATATATCCTTACTGTTTTACTGCCCAGCCCTAAAATGGACTCTGATGGAAAAGTGGAAAAATATGAACTTATTATAAAATGTGTCATTATGGTAACATTGCAGTAACATTGCAGTGACATTGCACTGACATGGTTTCCTATCAAGCAACCTGAGTTGAAACACCAGTGGAAGAGAGAAGACAGGAGAGGAAGAGTGATGAAAGCTCCGACAGCAACAACACAATCAATCAAACAGCCCCATTACACACTCATTACCAATATAACACACATGCAAACAAACACAAACGCACGTGCGCAAACTGACCCTATCCATTTCCGTAGTCACTAATGCAGCCTGTAATTCATATAAGGGTGCTTTTGGGCTGCAGCCAGTAAAGTACATCCTGCTGATAGCCTTTCCCTAATCACGCTAAACACATGCTATTATGACACAACAGGATGTGAAGCTGCTGTAACTGCAGCCTCAAATAACAGACTTCCTTATTTGATGTTTGGCTGGAGTCGTAATGAGAAAACTGTATTAAGTCCGTGTCGGAGTGTGCACTCTTTATTGGCTTTTAAAAAGAAACTACACTGAAAAAAAGGATTTTTGGATGTAGTAACATTTATTTAATTATTCTTTTAAATTTTACAAAAAAAATCAAAATCTCTAAACTATTAGAATTTACTAAATAAACAATACACATTATTGGCTTTTAAAAAGAAACTACACTGAAAAAAAGGATTTTTGGGTGTAGTAACATTTATTTAATTATTCTTTTAAATTTTACAAAAAAAATCAAAATCTCTAAACTATTAGAATTTACTAAATAAACAATACACATTATATTATATATCAGTATTATTGAGAAAACTGTATTAAGTCCGTGTCGGAGTGTGCACTCTTTATTGGCTTTTAAAAAGAAACTACACTGAAAAAAAGGATTTTTGGATGTAGTAA